AAAAGCAAGAGGCTAAAAATATATTTTAGAAACTTAAAAAAAAACTAAATTAAAATTTAATGTAAAATCATGGAATTAAACATGGCTGGAGATCTTTTACCCGCATTCTTTTCTTCAAATGTAATGTTCCTTGTGATTTTTTTTTCTACGTATAGTTATTTTCCTATTACGGGCAATCTTATTAGATAGGTCGGGTTTGAACTTGGTTAACGTTGTATTTGAAAAAGAGAATGCAGATACAAGATCAACACCCATGTTTTTAGTTCCATATAATTAATTTGATTACCGTGATCTCACTTTGTTTTGAACAATTTTTTTTTTTCTGTGAGCAAAAATATCCACTGGACTGCGGACTGCCAGGGGCGCGCTACATTTTGCATATTTTATTTTGTTTTAGGGGTTGGGGGTTTACTTTTACTAAAATTTTCGTTTCATTTAATTCATTTGTGAAGAATTTTTTTCCTACCCTAAGAATCTTTAATATCGCCTAAAATATCTAATATTTCTCTATTAAATTTTTAAAGCGTTAAATAAATACTTTTAAACGTTGGCATTAAAAATGAGAGTACTATTTAACAGAAAGCTATTTATTGGCCCAAGAAGAACACAGTTTTTTTTTTGGTATTGTTTATATAAATACATTTACACACACACACACACAAACATATATATATATATATATATTATAAAAGATATATTTACATTTTTCCAAGAAGTATCTCATACCCTTTCTTCAAGAATATTTAATGACATATTATACACTCTTTTATCCTGATCATTTCCAGCGACATTATTTTGTATTTTTTTGGTCCATACGCTCTATTCAAAGTATAAATAAAGTGCCCTAATGCGATTGTTGCCATCATCTTTGCCTACTTGCTCTCTGAACCCAAAAAAGTTCAATTTTTTTTATTTATAGAAAAAGTCATAATAAGATTCTAAAAAAGAAATATAATCATTAGAAGTTTCATAACAAATCAGCAGCAAGTAATAATAAATTTCAATGCAATAATAACAAGTCCATATGATCCACTTGTTGACAGGACATTTTCATAATTATATGTATTTTTTCTTGGAACCTTGTATTGATTTTCCCTTTCTTTTAATGAAAATATTGTACTGTTAAAATAATTAAATTCATGTAACAAAGTACTTTCCCTCCTCAAATTATACACAACCAGACATATGTCAAGTTGGATTTTAACATGTAAAATTAGGCTGAGATTGGATTTAATTACATGACTTGTATTTGAAAAAAAAAATCTCATGTGTTCATTAAATAAACAAACAAACCCTTCCAAAAACCATTTGCAGATTCTGCCACATATTGGATCCCTAGTTGAATTAAAGTAGGTGTAATCTTCCCTAAAAGTCACTTTAATTAATTTTTAGTCCAAATTTGATCTTAACTTACGCCATAAATGCAATAGTAAATCAAATTGTGCTGTTCTGTGAATCTTTTTGGTGTTTCATCCGAATTGTTGCTCATCTTAAACTCTTTTCACTAATCGATTGCAAAAGTTAGAGCAACAGAGGGTGAATATCATTGTAAGTCCTTACAATTTAATCTAATTTTGATTTTAGTCCTCGTAGTTTCGAATCATTGATTTTGACTCTTGATCTGAGTTTGAATATAGGGACCAAAACCAAAACTGGTTAAAAGCATAGAAATCATTTGTTAAATTCAGAAAAAAAGTTATGAAACTTTGGAGAACAAAGTCTAAATTTGATCAAAACCATAAATACTAACAATAGTATATAACCCAATAATATAATTATTTAGCATTCTTTAATTGTCACTATATGTTTTTTTGTCCGGTTATGCAATGGAGCCTCAACTCAAAACATGATTAAACAAAAAGTAAATAAAGCACCAAATATTGATCTCCTAGCTTGGAATTTCCTGAACAACCTCATTGTACAGCGATTTTTATTTGTCTCAAAACCCTTTAATTAATTAAACACTTTGTGACCTTTTTTCATAAATATAATGAATCTGCTGCTTCAAACTAAAATGAATCCTAATATTACTCTCTCCGTTCCTTAAGAGACATTTGATGCTTATGGCATGTTTCCATATATAAGAGACACTTAAAAGTTGTTTCTATTTTTTTTTATTGATTTCCTATTTTACCCCTATTTATTTTGTCTCCAACTCATACTCTCTCTCCCTCCCACTTCTCTTTCTTTTAATAATTTAATTGTTCTCTCTCATACTCTCTCCTTATTAATAGGGGCATTGTTGGAAAAAACATTATACTTTTTACACATTAAGTGTCTTCAACTAATTTTAACTGTTTTTTTATCAACGTAATTTGGTTATTTGCCTTTTATAATAAGGAACGGAGGGAGTAGGTAATAATATGCTCTTTAAATTAGAAAAAAGAAAGATATGCCATAACTCATGATAAACATATTTGGTAAATAGTATAGTTTGGTTATATCAAGCATATTCTCTTCGGCATCGTACGAAGTTTAAAAAATAAGCTTCATTAATTATAACTCATGATAAATGTAATATGGCTTGTTATATATATAATATAATAATGATATAGGTGATTATGAATGAACGTTAATTACACATTTTATTTCACAAATCACCCTTTGCTTTTCTCTGAAGGGAAGAAAGAAGGTTTTGTGAAATGGCCAAGGGATTTTGTATTTATTTATTTTTCATTAGTAAATGTCGCAGTTAGGCCCGAGTTTAAGTAATTCTTCAAAATGTAAACTCATTTTTAGATTTAATATTCAGCATAAAGTTTTATATATTGATGCTATAAAGCAAGATGCTAGAAAATATTAAAAATTTAGTTATACGAGTCAAAGCAAAATCAATTTCATTTTCAATGCTAAAACGTGGCTCACGGTCTATATTCAATGTGCCTATTTTTGTTAATATTATAGTCGCCCCAGTTTTTAATATAAGAATTAATTAAGGAGTTAAATTTGATTATAAATAATGAAATATAAGATTTTGATTTACTTCATATCTCATATTTGCTAATTTTTTAAACTAGTTTACCTCACTGGTAAAATAATATGTAGTATGATAAAATAATATGTTTAGATACTCTGAAAGCATTTATAAATGAGTACTCACAGTAACTAAAAGTTTTTTTTGCTCCTACATACCCTAAAAGTTTTTTTTTATAGCAAAAATACCTTGTTATTCGTCGTTAAGTTTGACTGTTAAAATATGTAGTTTGACAAATACTTTTAACAGTCAAACTTAATAGCAGATAACGATTTAAGTTAAAAATGCTACCAAAATAAAATTTTCAGAGCTTAAAAAAGCCAAAATAAATTTTCAAGTACTAGACGCTCCTTCGTTGATACTTTCAAAATATTTAAGCTCCTTATTTCTTTATTTAACTTTTTAATCTACTCATGTTTAGTAGAAAATGTTTCATTTAGCATAATAATGTTTTAAATTTTGCTTGTCTCTCTTTCATATGGTTGAGATTCTGCTTTTCTGCTAGAGCTCTGTATAGGGGGAAAAAAACAGAGAAAGAATTAATAATTCTACAGTTCCTTTTTTAAAATTAAATATTACATTGTCTAATCTTGTAACCGAAAGGTGAAAGATATGCCATAATTTAAATTTTAAAGAAAATATTCTTACAATGACTATAATTGACTGAAAATCTTTTATTTAATTTCATAGACCCTTATTCTAATGTTAATTTTCTATGTGTGTGCATATGCGTTTTTATGGATATTATTTTATCCTTTAATTCTTCAAACGAATTTGAAAACTCTGAAATAAAGAATTATATGATTACTAAGATTCATCTGACTTTGTGTTTCAACTTTAAACTAAAGATCCTCCCATCACCAACAAATTAATAATTGTAGAACTGCCAAATTTTATTATAAAAATTAATTTTTACACTACAACAACTGGAATATGCCTAAGAATATTCCGTCAAATAACATTGATATTATTGTTATGCTCTTTTGTAGAATCTTTAAATTGATTTAATTTAAATGATTTCATGCTATTTAATATTTGATAGTTTACGCACTATTACAAATCTGTTTTCATTTTATGTAAAATTTTTTAAGACGAAAATTATTGAGATTTCAAAAGAAAAATAATTCAGTCCAAAATTTAAATGAAATAAATCTACTGAAAAATAACAATACAATTTTTTTAAGTTTAAATAGTCCTAAATGTGTGAATATAATAACTTTTGTAAATCACAAAGGGTTCTTGGAGATACTACAAAATGAAAAGCCAGGTTAAGCACATCGCTTGTCTAGAGAGCTGAAATAGCCATCAATTATTTATTCTTTAAAATTTTTTATATGTTATGACAAGGGTTGAATATCTAAAATAATTGTCAAAAGAAAATAACTTTTTGTTTGCAATTTGAAAGAAATGAATTTTGATTTTCTACAAGTTGCCCAAGAAGAGAAATATTTTCCCTCATGCCCAAACAATAAACCATCGCTCCATCTTTCAATAATTCATCATTGGCATAAAATCTAGAGTAAACGAAGTTGCCAGTTCAACCTTTTATAAATATAATATGTGTGTGAATTTATTTGTTGAGTGAAGAATGACAAAAAAAAAATAAAATTAACAATAAAATATGAATTCTCTCTAGTTTTAAATATAAGAATTAGTTGTGTTGTTAAAATCAGAAAAAAAAAATTTCTTTTTTCACATTGTATGATGACTGAAATATTTAAAATATTAAATGTCATTTTGTGGCAAAACAAATGCATTATCATGAGAGCAGAGAGTGCATAACTTTGATGCATGCAATATAATGTAAATGGCCCACCAAATATATAATAAAAGCCAAGAGTTTTGAATGCATTGTCTAAAGCAAATGAGGTTGGTTGATTGCCCACAATCACAGCCTGTGATTGCCAATCAAACATAGCTGTAACCATCCCAAAAATGATTCCTCAAAGCAACTATATATATTATAATAAAAGCAGCAACAACATTGCCTAAAATAACTCATGAACAACCATAATTGATTTATCAAAAAAAAAAAAAAATCCCAACCCATATGCCAAACTAGCCTTCCATATCACAAAAAGGCCCTTCATTTTCCCCATTCTCCTTCAAACCATTTCTTCTTCAAGGCTTTGCAACTGAGAATTGTTGGAATGGGAAACTGTGGAAGTGCGCCAAAGACTAGTGAAGGAGCAGCCCCGGCACCGGAAAGGGATGAGGCAGCTGCCGCCGGCAAGACTCAGGCGGAGGAGGCCCCTTCTGCCTCTGATGAAAAGTCTCTCAGCACTCTGTTAACTGAGGTATTTTACTATGAATCCAAGCTCTGTATAAGAATCTGAAATGAGTCACTCTGTTCATTTATGCCCATGGTTCTCTGAATATTCTTTTATATCTATATATATATATAGAGAGAGAGAGAGAGAGGGGTATTGATACTTGGGTTAAATTTCCTTGAACATCTCCAACAAGTTCATGAACTTGCCTGGTTCTTTATCCCTAAAACAAATGTGCACATTCATAGCTTCTGACAGTCATAAAGGTTAGTGATGGAAGATGTCCAGAAAGACAGAGGAATAAAAGAGATGCTAAATAGTACATTAAAAAAGAAGTGGTATACATAATCATATTCTTTCATCTTAATATCTGTGCAATTATATCATTTTACATGATTAAAGCTATACTTTAATGATTCTATTGAGTCTGGAGAAAATCGAGAGGTGATTGTTTTTTTTTTTTCAATTTCAAGAATCAAATTCAACTTTTCCATAAAAAGTTTAGTTTCAAGGTGCTTTTTTTTAATTTGTAATTTGTACTAAACTTTTTTTTTTTTGTAAAATGAGTAATGAAATTCATACAACTTGAAACCCTTTATTTCTTTCCTCTTTTTCTAGTTTGGTTTTGAAATCGTCATCAATACAGGATTTTGATTCTTGGGTGAGTAATGATTTTGTGATGTGTGTGTTGGCATAATGGAAGAAGGAAACAAAGGATGCAGAGGAACCTAAGAAGGAAGAGGCCAAAACAGAGGAGGCGAAGCCTCAAGAAGCAGAGAAGCCCAGAACAGAGGAAGCAGAAGACAGAGGAAGCAAGGAAGAGAAAAAACCAGAGTGATGAAGAAGAAGAAGACGAAGATGATACTGGATATTTTATATCCCACAAAGTTAAATCAATCAATCCGTTAATGTAAAACCTAAAAGAGTTCTTTTATTTCTTTCTCTGTTTTTTTGTTTTTTTTTTTTGGTTTTATTCTTCAACCTTTGGTCTTGCCTTTTTTCATCTGGATGGAATTTGTATGAAAATTTGGAGATTTCAATATCTGGGTCATCAGCATTTGTTCTTGGAGCAATAGTAATGAACAATGAATGCAACAAAATTCTGCAAAATACATCTGCCTTGATCTGCAAAGAGGTAACTATTTTGTCTTGCTTGTTTTATTATACTAGGCATTAAGATTATCTTCTGTGCCTTCAAGAAGTGCACGGGAAAAACGATGACGTTTTATCACTTTTTGATCAAGTTTTGATCTAACTATGCCTTGTTAACTGCCTTCAAGGCTTGATATAATCTAGCTCAATCTGCTAAGCCGCTTGCAATTTTATAAGTGTTTTTTTTTCCCAACACAAATCAAAAAATGGCCTAAATTTGACATGGGACAAAAAGAATACTATTACCTCTAAATTCTTTTAAGGGTAAGGTACTTAAAATGTCTTAAAATTATTCACAAAGGAGCATACAGCATTTAGAAGTTTTTTTTTTGTTCTTAAGTTTGACTATTAAATTATGTGATTTGATTAATGTTTTTAATGATCAAATTTAACGGTGAATAACAGTTCATGATAGAAACACTACGAAATAAAACTTTCAGTTCCAAAGCACATAAGAGCCAAAAAAAA